GTTCCCGGCACCTAACCCACTTCATGGTCCAGAGAAGATGCCCAAAATGTTTGTAAAAAGAGCATGTAAAACACAGTCTTCTGAGGAACTGTCATCCCAACAACTCTTTTTTTGAGTCAAGAGTTTACTTCTTCCTGCCCAGACTGGAGTGCAATGGTGTGATCTCAGCTCACGGCAACCTCCGCCTCCCGGGTTCAAGCAATTCTCCTGCCTCAGCCTCCCAAGTAGCTGGGATTACAGGTGTGCACCACACCCAGCTAATTTTGTATTTTTAGTAGAGATGGGGCTTCTCCATGTTGGTCAGGTTGGTCTCGAACTCCTGACCTCAGATGATCTGCCCACCTTGGCCTCCCAAAGTGCTGGAATTACAGGCCTGAGCCACTGAGCCCAGCCCCAACAACTCTTACACTGCAGAAGCACTTAATTTTAGAAATAGGCCAAGACAGCTGCAGAGGGGATCCAGGCCTAGGCCTCTCCCTGGGCAACAATTTGGTTCCTAAAATTCAACACTCACCACCATGTGCCATAGATAATTATCTTCCACACAGTCACCCTGTATCAACTTTGAATACACATGCCCAATATAATCTCACGGCTAGTACAGTACAGCAACCAATAACAGACTCCCTTTTTAATTTTTTATATGTACTTTGGCCAGCAAGGATAGATCAAAATGCTAAAAGAACAACTGAAATTGAAGAATTCTACGACGAATTTCATAACCACCAGTTCCCGGCTCACTGTGTGATCCCAGGACAACCACACCACCTTCTTGAACTGTCAGCTTCAACTACAGTCACAAGGTTCTTTATCTAAAGGGTTATTTGGGGAAGATTAATTAGTTAGTAGAGGTAACATACTCTGGGACCAATGCATGAAAGATGCCATGAATCAAATTAATTATGAAACAAAGGAAATCATAAATATTGAAACCACTTCAAAACCTGAGAAGTCGAGAAGTGAGGAAAATTTAAAATTATGCCTGTGGCTCTGATACTAACTCACTGTTAGACTATAAGACAAGATACGTATTCTCAGAAGATTCATGACATTCCCAACAGATCTTTAGTATTTGGAAATGTCAGATGTTTCTGTTCTCCAACAGCATTAATTTCACATGGAGTATGAACAGTGACATATGGAAATCGCAAAATTAGAGCTGTTTTCCGTTGCTGTATCCGTGCCGGTTAACACGCAGTCTACCTTACCGAAAGTCAGTTCCACACACTCTGGGTCAAAGAGAAAAGCCGTTTAACTGGCTGTAAAAACACTTCTCCGCCCGCTACCTGCTGCCCCCTCCCCCGAGGAAAACACGCCAGGAAAACAGCAATAACCAGCAGCACAGCTGCGCTCCCACGCCACGACTTCCTAACTTCCCTCCACTTGAAAGCACTCTCATCAGTGTTTGTTTGTCTAAAAACTCTTCTTGGAGCCTGGAGAAGAAACACATCCAAGTGAAACTGAGAGGTCAGCTTCCAAAGCGGAAGCTGAACTTTGCAGGTGGGGGCGGGGGGCAGTCAGTTCCGTCCCCCGGGAGCTTAAACGAATGGGGCAAGGTGAGGGGGACGGCCCCTTCCTTCAGCGCTGCACTCACGCCGCAAAGGGCCTGGGGCCGGCCCACGAGAACACCAGGGCACTGGCCCACTTGCAGCGGCCCCAAGAGACTCCTGACCATTGCACCTGGGGACACCAGGTAGGGTCGGGGCCGGCGGTCCCCATTCGCCCCTCCAGGCCGAAGTGAGGGCGGGTTCCGCTGACCCCCTAGGCCAGGAACTAGCAGGGTTCGGGCGCGGGTCTGGAGGGTCGGCCCCACCACCTCCGGCAAACCCGAGGGTCCCCGCTGCCACAGCCTCCTCAAGGAGGTGCCCAGCGTGGCGTGTAGGGGCAGCCAGGACGGCGGCGGCCAGTACTCACAGAGCCCACTGGAGCCGGTGCTGGTGAACATGGTCCCGCCGGGCTCTGAGCCCCCGCGGGGACCAGGGGGAGGGGAAGCTGAGGTGGGAGCCCAGGCGACCGCGCAGGCGCACCCCCGGCGGGGCGGTGAATCCGGCGCCGCGAGGCCACTCGCCGCTGACGAATAACGCATGCGCAGCCAGGCGCGTGCGCCCCTTGGGTCAGCGCCCTTCTTCCTGCCGGGGAAGGGAAGTGCGTCCGGAGGGGAGGGGCCCGCTCTTCAGGTAGAAACGACGGCTGCCACAGCCGCGTGAGGTAAAAAGGGATGGCACTCAGGCGGCCGAGGTGTAGCTCCCGGGAGCCTAACGTTTGTGTCCAGTGCCACCTCACCCCTGGTGGTTACGCAAATGGCTGCGGATTCTTCTGGATTTTCGGCGCTGGACATGAGCGCAGCCTCAAACCTCTCCCGAGACTGGACGCCCGGCGCCTTCCACGCGCGTTCTTTCTTTTCGGGCGGTCCCTTGAAGCAGGCTCCCCGCGGGCTTTTGGCTGCAGTGGGGTCTGTCTCGGGTTCCGGTGTCCAGCGGAGTCAGAGGTCACGCAGATGCTGATGGAGGGGTGCAGGAGCCGGAGAGGTGGAACAGGTCCTTCCGGATACAGAGAGCCGGGCGGTCCAACAGCCTTTGTTCTCTCGTGGGTCCCGCCCGGAGTCCACACCACCGGAGCCGAGTGTCGTGGGCCCGGGAGTCAGCATCCTGCCCTCCCCCTGTGGTGGCGGGCGGCTGGGGGTCCCAGGCGCGGCGAGCTCGGCAGAGCGACCCTGTCCTTGTGCCCCGCGAGCTTCCGGACTCGGGCCATTTAATATTTTTACCCCAGCAGAATGACTTACTCTTTACCAAAGTCGCGGTTTTTAAATGACTGTTAGCCTGAAAACATGCAGTCGTTTTAAAAAGTTTTTTTAAGTTGATCTCATACTCTTTTACAGCGGAGAGTTAGTGGGGAGGGAGATGGGGAGAGCTTGGCCAACAGGTACAAAGTTACAGTTAGGAGGAATATGTTTTGGTGTTCTCTTGCACATTTGGACGACTATACTCAACAGTAATGTTGACTCAAAATAGCTAGAGAAGATGATGTTAGATGTTCTCACCATAAAGAAATGACAAGTGTTTCAGTGATGGATGTGCTAATTACCCTGAGTAGATGGTTACGCAATGTTTATATGTATGGAAACATCACACTGTACCCCAGAAATACATACAATTACATGAGAATGCATATTATGGGGATATTGACTCCACCACGGAGCTAAATGAAAGGGATAGGCTATGGGGTACTTTAAAAAAAAAAAAAAAAAAAAAACTTTTTGAGCTCGTAAGTGCCATGCTAAATCTGAGATTCGTAGATCAACACAGCCCCTGCCCTCAAAGAGAGGTTCCAGTGGGCCAAAATGTTAACGTTCGTTATTTTTAGAAGGCAAAAGTATGCCTTTTATTTGCTTCTTTAGGCCTTTTTTGTAAGGTTCATTTTCACGGTCTTTTTTATTTGTTTGTTTTTAGACGGAGTCTTACTCTGTCTCCCAGGCTGGAGTGCAGTGGCACAGTCTGGGCTCATGGCAACCTCCGCCTCCTGGGTTCAAGCGATTCTCCTGTCTCAGCCTCCCAAGTAGCTGGGACTACAGGCACCTGACACCATGCCTGGCTAATTTTTGTATTTTTGGTAGAGGCAAGGTTTCACCATGTTGGTCAGCATGGTCTCGAACTCCTGATCTTATGTGATCTGCCCGCCTCAGCCTCCCAAGTGTTGGAATTACAGGTTTGAGCCACCGTGCCCAGCCCATTTCACAATCTGCAAGTACATTTTACATTTACCTTTAGGTTTGTTCGAGTTATTTTTCAGGAAAACAACAGTCAAAACATCCTTTATGGTTTGCAGAATCTGTTGGTTGGCCACACCCCTACACATTAAGGTGAAGCAAAGTGCAAAACTATTTTCGTAATAATGCTAAGACATTATTTTTAGTTTCTACTCTTACAAGTGTAGGGCTGTTGGCCCCACAGGGTTGTGGGGTATCCCTTATGCTGTGCTGAGATGCAGGATCTGAGAAGCAAAGAGACAGGACACTGAAGAACTGGAGAAGAGCAGCTGGCCTTCAGGGGCCATGCCACCTATGAGCGGAGACAGGCGAGGCCTCGAATGTCCAGAAATGTCTGTATTTATTGGGTACAAGGCAGGGGGCAGGGTCATGAGTGAGGTCATCTATAGGCTTAATGATAGGGCATACATAATTACGTAACAGGCAAGGGGGCCACCCCATTAAGTCACCTAGGCAGAGAGGTGGGCCTGCGCAGTAGGGGGCCATGCTGTGCTCAGCAGTAGAGGGTCGTGTACTGCTACGACCCTCTACTGCTGAGGGTCCACCCCCATTAGGTCACCAAGGCATGGAGGTAGGCTCTGTGCAACAGGTGTCGTGCGCAACACTTCTTATCTGGGGCCTGGAGACTTCAAAGGATTCTTATAGAAAAACACTGTAAACAAATGCAGTGGGAGGTGACAGACTTGTGCTCTTCTCTAAGATATTTATGGAAGGATGATTTGAGCTAGCACAGAAGCGAGAAAAGGCTGACAGGGTGTACAGCCGCTGTGACCCGGTCATACCAGAGGGGTTCTTTTCCCTCAGTTATTTGTGGGATCTCAGGCCTGAGGCCTACTTTCCACAGGAACTGCATGCAAGGTACTACAACTCCTTTTTCAGAAGAGGCTCTTGCTCCAAGCCTGCCATACAGTGTATGCCCTTTCAGGCAGGGACACCACCACCTGGATCTTTGGTTCTTGTCCTGCTCTGGCTGTTTTCCCATGTACTGCTTCTGCTTTGTGACTGCTCTAGGCATTCCTCCTAGTACAAACTGCTATATAGTTATATAGAAGGATTATGTAAATCAGTACTAAATGTGTCGGTACAGCTCCGACTCTAATACCTGTATGATTATATACAAAGATTATATGGGACTAAGTACGATAGATATGAGTACTAAGTATGATTATATAAGCTAGATATATGTTAGCAGTAAGTTATACTTCAGGCACTAATTCTGTAAACTAATATATGATTTTATGTAAAAGATTATATAAAGGAAATAACTGAGTAATAATGCTATAAACTAAGATATTCTTCAGGCACTAATTGTGCCTGAGGTTTGCACAGCTCTCCTTCCTTGGTGCCCATGTGAGAGGTTACCCCCACACAAGTATACACTAGAGTTTTCCACTGTACAGTTGGAAGAGCTACATAACTGGATTTTCCAGTTGACTGCTGCATAATGTTATGAAATCTTATATGGGTAAAAGATCAATTTGAACCGTAAAATAAACCAATAAACTTTAGTGTAAGAGTCCAAAATATTCGTTCATACAGTTTCAGATTCCTCATGGCAGCTAACCTTCAAGAAACTACCACTTGCTAAGTTATGGTGTAGTATCAAAAAATAATGTATCAGCTGAAAGGTTAAAATGCTTCTTTTTCCAGCCACTGGGTGTACCTGTGTGAGGCCAGGTTTTCCTCTTATGCTTCAACCAAAGCAATGTATTGCAACAAACTGAAAGCCAGACATTAAAGACATTTGCCCACCAGATACAGTGGCTCAGGCCGGTAATTCTGGCACTTTGGGAGGCATCCCAGGTAATTTGTGTGCAGCTTAAAGTCTGAAATGCCCTAGTGCAGTGATTCTCAGGGGGACAGTTTTGACTTCTAGGGGGCAATATCTGTAGACATTTTTGGACATCACAATGTGGTGGGGGGATGCTACTAATATCTAACAGGCTAAGGCCAGGGTGCTGCTAAACATCCAGCAATACCAGGCCAACATCACCTTGGGCCCCTCCCACAGTAGAGAATTATCCCACCTGAATTGTCAGTAGTGCAGAGGTGGAGGAAGCCCTACACTGTGTAATTCATCCGACCTTTACTATGAAGTTCCTGAAACTCCTGGTGTATATCATTTCTGTTGCCCTGGCTGATATTTCTACCTTTTCTCTTTTTTTTAGATTTTATTATGAAGAACTCATTCTGTTGATCCCTAGGAATCACCTATTGCCTTGCTGTTTTGTTGAATCTGTTTTTGAATCTGCTTTCTACATTGGGAAGGTAGGAGTATGTTTGTAAGCCTTAGAAGCTATGTACACTATGAAGAAATCACCAGACACTTGGATAAGCTTTGCAGAGGTGAAGGGCTGTCTCCACCAGAGAGATCCAGAAGGAGTCAGAGTAAGCCTGACTCATGAGATCAGGCATCACCAATCCACAGCCAACTTCCACAGTTCATCTTCCTAGGTAACCGCTCTGCATTCCCAGGTAGAGTAAGAATAATATCAGAACTTACAGCATATTTTGAGGTCAAATTTATAGAATTTGGTGATTTCATTTTTATTATTACCCTTTTATTTACAACCAAATTAATAAGGCTACCTACACATAACAATGTGTGGACATACACATTAAAAGAATCATTTGCTGCCTAGCACTCCTACCTTGGTACTTTTAAGAACATCATTGAGTGGATAAGTTACCCACTCCCTCTGCTGAGTAAACTATTTTGCCACAATATCAGCTGCAGTGGTACATCTTCCAGACTGTAATGGCAGAAGTGGTTATCTGCTCTTCTGTGCTGACATCACACTTGATGTACACCTACTTTATAAAACTTAAACTATTGTCTCAGTTATTCAGTTTCTGTCTTCTACTGTGAAAGAGTGAGCCCATAAAAAATGGAATGTATTTTACAAAATGTATCCTGCTCATTTTGATGTGAAGCTATTGACTTCATTTAAAAAACAGCATTTCTGAGGTCTTCGCATCAGGAAAATCTCCAGGTGGGTAAGGTTAAAGAAAAAATGATTCATGACACTTGTTCAAGATGGTGCATTAGTCTGTTCTCACACTGCTATAAATATCCGAGACTGGGTAATTTATAAAAGAAAGAGATTTAATTGATTCACAGTTCTGCATGGCTGGGGAAGCCTCAGGAAACTTAAAATTATGGCAGAAGGGAATCAGACACATCCTTCACAAGGTGGAAGGAGAGAGAAATGCCAAGTGAAGGGGGAAGAGCCCCTTATAAAACTATCAGATCTTGTGAAAACTCATAATATATCGTGGGAACAACATGGGGAGACCACCCCCATGATCCAGACACCTCCTACCAGTTCTCTCCCTAGACTCATGGGGATTATGGGGATTACAATTCAAGGTGAGATTTGGGTGGGGACACAGCCAAACCATATGAGATGGTAAGGCAGACTTTGTTCAGGGGGCCATGGTGATAAGTAGAGGGGCACTGCAGGGCCATGCAGTGGGGAGAGATTGAACTCAACACCAACTTTAGCAAGGACGTATGGAGATTTATATTCAAGGAGCAGGGTGGAAAGCATGCATGGAAAATTCCTAAGAGGAAGCAACAAGGATAAGGCGGTTTCTGTCTGAACAGACCTAATAGGATTCCTGCTGAAGGTGGGCCAGGGTGATCAGATATCAAAGGTGGCCAACCAAGAGTAGGGGCTTTTCACTAGACTCACTTAGCAGGATTCCTGCTGACACTGGGTTCTGCAAGAACAGAGCAGGATGCTTAAAGTGGGGCCTACTCAAGCAGAAGACTCAGAGACGGCTGACTGGAGTTTTGGTCAAAGGAGAGAGTTTTTCAGGCAAGAGGGAAGACTGTTGGCCAAGCATCCCTGACAACCACCTTTCCCTTGCTTTCACCTGCCTTTAATACAGTGCTCCTTTTGAATAGCTGAGATAGACCAGAATTCTTCCTAAAAATTACTGAGTAGTGGAGAGGGCCAAAAATAACAAACAAGAATCACAAACTTCCAAAGTATCAAGTTGTGTACAAATGGTATCTTCTGTGCCCCCAGCGTAGAGATAATACCCAGTTCCACTTTGTGGCTGAGGAATCCCTCTCCAAATCTCCAGAGATTCTCGGCAATAGCATTCTGGGGAAATTAATAGATAATGACTGGGGTTGGTGGTCAGTCCTTCGATAAAATAGGCTTCAGATGCATTTTGGACTGCTTCAAATGCACTTTCAACATATAATATATAGGAAACTAATGCTTATTAGAAAACAGGGCTGGGCACAGCGGCTCACACTTGAAATCCAAGCACACTGGAGGCTGACATAGGATCCCTTGAGGCCAGAAGTTTGAGACCAGCCTGGAAAACATAGGTAGGCCTCGCCTCTACAAATAAAAAATATTTTAAACTAGCCAGGCATGGTTGTGCACACCTGTAGTCTCAGCTACTTGGCTGGCTGAGGCAGGAATTCAAAGCTGCAGTGAGCCGTCATCGCACCACTGCACTCTAACCTGGGCATAGAGTGAGACCCCTTCTCTAAGAAAAAGAGAGTAAAGAAAGACAGTGGGTCTGGAACCTTTGAAAAGAATAGTTAAATATCTTCAGTGATGCAATAATATTCACATTGGATGTTTACTTAGCAGGGAGCAGTTTGGAAATCCATAGGGTATTTTTGGTTGTCGACAATGAGTTGGGAGATAACACGTGAGGTCCAATAGTGGCAGGCACAATGCTGCACAAAAACTAAATTGCTCTTGATTCTAACCATCTTGACTATCCTGCCACATGCTTATGTGGGTGAAAAGCCTGTTTGTATTCTTTCAGGCCTACGGCCTATTCCATTTTACATGTTGCTCTGATCTGAATGCTTGTGTCCCCCAGAATGCATATGTTAAAATTTAACCCACAGTACAGTGGTGCTGGTAGGTCGGTCATCTGGAAGGTCATTCGGTCATGAGGGCAGAGGTCTCGTGAACAGGATCAGTGCCCTTTTAAAAGAGGCCTGACGGCACTTGTTTTGCCTTTGAACCATGTGAGAACACAGCTGAAAACAGAACCATCCCTCATCAGACACAGACTCTGCTGGTGCCTTGATCTTGGACTTCCCAGCCTTCAGAACTGTGGGATGTGTGTGTGTGTAATTTAAATGTAAAACAATAATGTTAGGTATGTAGTTGGTTTTGTTTGTTTGTTTGTTTGTTTGTTTGTTTCATTTTTAGACAGGGTCTTGCTCTGTCACCTAGGCTGGAGTGCAGGGGCATGATCATGGTTCACTATAGCCTGACCTGCTGGGCTCGAGCAGTCCTGCCTCAGCCTCCAAAGTAGCTGGGACTACAAGGTGCATGCTACCACACCCAGCTCATTATTTTATTTGTTGTAGAGACAGGGTCTCACTATGTTGCCCATGCTGGTCTCAAACTCCTGGGCTCAATTTTCCTCCTGCTGAGGCCCCCCCCAAAGTGCTGGGATTACAGGCCAGGACTATGGGTGTGAGCCACTGTGCCCAGCCTTAACCTCCTTTAAAATGGGAGCTGTGTTATTTGTTATAGTATTTCCAGATGTATATTTGGGTGAAAGGATTGCAGTGCAGTGGAACAATTACTGCAAAAGTAACAAAATGTAACAGAACATTTGAGATACTTTTTTTTTTTTTTTTTTTTCACT